GTGGGCATTCCTGGAGAGCTCCTAAAGCCAACAGAAGCAGCAGGAAAGGATTAGAACTCTGTTCTCCAGGACTATCTCATGGTTGTCCAAACGGGGTCCAGGAGACTTCTGGAGAGCTGAAGAATAATTATCCTTCAGTGACACGTACATTCTCACGCTCAGACCCAGAGCACATCATGTAAGATCTATCTTTTATAAATTAAGTTGATTTTGTGAATCAACTTGGTTTAAGTGTGGACGTCCCTTCCTTCCCACGGCTGTTTGACGACCTCTTTGATCTAGTTACCACAAAACAGCCTATTTAATTTAAGGCCTATAATAGGCTCTGACTTTTCATTTTCCCAGTTCACAAAAATATCTTTTTTCGACCATGTCTTCCCAGTCACACACCACATTCAGCCAGCTCAAAGCACAGCTGAAAATCTTAGCACAAGGATGACAGCAGCCGCTTCTCTGAAGCTCCCACCCTGGCCTGCTGCCACGTGCTGGCATCTCAGGGAGAGCTTTACCTGATGCAGTGCTATTGGCCTGTCTCTGAACCTGCAAGCCATGGGTGTGTAAGAAGTCCCCAGGTCACTCCATCGACCTCAGCATCTCTTTCCTCCTTTGTGAAAAGGGGTTGGTAAACCCCCTTGTTGTCCTGGGTTGAACAGTACATGGGTGAGATCTATAGGAAGTGCTGTGCTGCATCTGTGTGCCTGCTTGTGATTTTAGAGCCAAGCCCACTGAGAGTAAAAGTGCTGTGACCAAGAATATGACCAAGGATGCGGTTATTGAAAAACTCAAAAACCGTGTACGGCAGCAGGACCCAGCGTTCAGAAAACGATTTCTGGACTTCAGCAAGGAGCCTAATGGCAAGATTAATGTGCGTGACTTCAAGAAGGTAGGAGAATGGGTTTCTTTGTGTTTCTGTGTTTTCTCCTTTCCTGAAGATCAGCTGTTTTCTTATACGAACGCGCTTTAAAGGATAGACATTAAGTTTTTTCATTAAGGGTTTATTCCAGGGCAAAGCAGATTCATTTCTAGGCATCTTTCAACAACTGAAAAGGATTCTTCTGGCCAAAAATGTCTTTGGCAACTTTCTCAGAGCATGCTTTTGATATGGATGTGGCCGGCTTTTGATAGTTAAACTTCCCAAGCACGGCGTTCATTGTCCCATTCTTTGGCCATCCCTGAGTACCTGTCTCCCTGCGTGTGGTGGGGCAGCGTGCAGGCGGGAGCGAAGCTGCTCGGGCCCCCATCCCTGCCATCAAGGGGTCCCCGCCATGCTGTGATAACAGAGCTGTGGTTTGTTCCTCCAGAAAGTGGGGAAAAAACCTGGCAGGGAAATTGCGAAGCTCAGAGTGCTGATTTGCATGTGCTTGTGGGAACTGGCGAGGTTCTGCCAGAAAGGACTCCGTTTGAAGGGTTCCGCATAGACTTCTCAGGAATTAATTTAAATGATTGCTTAAAATTCCTATTATGATCCCTCTAGCTAATCATCTTCAGCTATTTTTAAGGGAAGTGTTGCAGCTAACAGGTAGCAGCGTCCGTGTGGACAAATTTAGAAGAAGGCAGTGAAATATATTTCCAAGAAGAGAACAATTATATTAGTAGCTACAATTTATCTAGCACCTGCCCCCATGCCAGGCGCTGTATTAGCCTCTTTCCGTATCTCATTTCCAAGCCTCCTGACGGCGGCCGCGTGGAGGATGGATGGATGAGGGAGCCGGCTGGAGGCACAGGGATGGGTTTAGATGGCTGTCGAAACAGTCCAGACCTCCCCTTCCCCACACAAAATACACCAAGTGGAGGATCTGATGTTTGCGAGCGTACGGGGCATGGTGAGGAGAAATGGGGGTAATGGGTAAGGGAGAGGAAAGACTCAAGGATGGTTCCTAGATTTCGGTTTGGGGGACCAGGGCTGATAATTAGTCACTGCTAACTCCTACGGGGGCAACTTCAGTGGGGTTAGGGTGCTAAATGGGTGGGAATCATGGAACTCTCCCAGGGCGCCTGGTCCTAGACTCTAGCCCCGAGCCACTTGGCAGTGGTCCTGGCCCCGACGCACAACAGTCTCGAATGAGCACGGCGCTCAGCGGTCTTGATTCACAGAGTCAGTTCACAGGTTCACAGGAAATCAGGCATCAACCCGTCTGCCTCTGACTTTCCAGAGGGGGAAAGCAGCTGCCTTCAAGAAGGGCCGTAGGTGGCGGCAAAGCTGGGACTGACACCCATGACTCTGAGGCCAGCTTCTCACCTGCTCATCTGAGAGCACCTTTAGGTCCGTCAGCTGAGCCGAGCGGTTTCCACCTTAGGCTTAGTCGGCCGTCGATGAGCCAGGGGCTCCCTCGTTCACGTGGCTACTTCCTGCCCCAGAGCACTGTCCCAAAAGTTTGGCCAGCAGCCACTCCGTTCTCAGCCTGGGGCAGCCTATTCTCCAGTGGTTCAGGCCTGGAGTCTCGGAGTCCTCCCTGACTGTCCTCTTTTTCTCACACCCATGTCCAGCGCATCACCCGCGCCTGTCGGCCCCTTGAACTCGCCCCAGGATACAGTAACTGCTCGCCAGCCCCGCTCCCAGCCAGCCGCCCTCTCCTGGGCTGTTACAGCGGCCCCCTCGCCCTCCCCTGCTCCTGCCCTGCCTGCTACAGCTTAGTTGCAGCCCAGCCGCCCGGGGGACCCTCCAACAAGTCAGTGAGAGAGGGCCACGCCTGCTCAGGACCCTCCAATGGCTCCCCCCCATCGCTCGTATAAAAACCAGAGTCCTAGAAGGCCCAGCACGACCCAGCCACCCATCACCTCTCTGACCTCAGCTCTCACCGCCCCCCTTGTCCGTACGCTGCAGCCACACCGGCCTCCTGCTCTCCCCTCACCGCCTGCCAGCCTTGGTCTGAGCCTGACGTCCCCGTGGTGAACACGGCCTGACCTCCACCCCCGTGACCTCCTTTACCCTATTTCTCTTCTCGCGGCGCTGTCACCAACTGCTACCCACATCGTACTTACAGTTCTTTAGTTCATTTATTTATTTTTCTTGTTTGCTTGTCCTCCTCCATTAAGACGTATATGCTCCAAAGGTGGACGTTGTTATCTCTTTTGGACAGTGATGCATCCCAAGTGTCTGGCACATAGTAGGGCCCGGCAAGTGTTTGCTGAATGAACGGATGAACTTGATGAACTTGAGTAACTAGAACCCCCAGCGGGCCCTGAATGGACTCAGGTCGCAACCTGAGGAACAAGGGAAGCAGGTGTTTCAGAAGCCCGTTGGAACCCCTGAACGTGAAGCCAGTTCCTGTACCTCTCTGTGGCTAACCCACCCTATCTCCCTCCTCTGCCCCCTGAGTCTCTCTGCATTCCAGCCGACCTGAGGGGCAGCCACAGGAATGGTCTTCATGGTGGAGCCTCCCTGTTTCCTGGCTTTCCCGAGATGTGCCAGTGGTGGGGAAAGGAAACACAAGCCACTCGAGGACCGATATGCAGGGGAAAAGGTTTGTTGTCATTTCAAGAGGCTAACAGTCAGTTCTCTGTGAGCACAGTTAGGCAAATAGTCTACTGGTTTCCCTTCTAGTGACTTGTTGGGTTTAACCTTTGGAAACATCCTGTCGTGACCAACTTGAAGATCAATAACCGTGGGCTGATTATAAACAGTCTACTAGGGACCCAGATCTCAACCCTGTAAGCTGATAGCCTCAAAGCATTGTATAAATGTAAATTTTCATTGTTAAATAAATTATTTATAGACCAGAGTGATTCTACTACTGGTGAAGTCAGAGCTGGAAAAATCATGGACTTCTACTGTAGAAAGAAACAAGAATTTAGATTAGACATCATGCAGGGCATCCAGAGGTTAAAGGTTTCCAACTTCAGTGGCAAGGAAACCTTTGAAGCCACCTCCTTTAGAGAGCTTTAAGTATAAATGATGACAATAGTTCCGCAATGGTAATAACAGCAGTAATAATAACCACGATGGTAACGCCAACCATGGTAACGCCAACCATGGTAACGCCAACCATGATAACGCCAACCATGATAACGCCAACCACGGTAACGCCAACCATGGTAATGCCAACCATGATAACACCAACCATGGTAACGCCAACCATGGTAATGCCAACCATGATAACACCAACCATGGTAACGCCAACCATCGCAGGAGCAGTGACGTTCATGGTGCTGGCCCTCACTACACGCAGCATTCGCTGACCCACCAACGTGCAGGCACTGGGGAAGTTGCTTCACATACTTCATTTATAATCCTCACAGGAGCCCCGTGAGGTATAGATCGCACTGTGCTCATTTCACAGATGAGGAGACCAAAGCTTAGGAGTTAAGATGGTGGCTCAGCGTTGTTCAGCTGGTAAGCCATTCAGGCACTTGGGTTTGAATCCACGCTGGTCTGTGTCAGCTTCAGACCGTTGCTGGGTGTGACAGCGGCTTGGTGGGTGTAATATAGGCTAGCTGGGTATAATTGATGGCAGCTTTGAGGTTGGATCTAGCCTCAGAGTTTGGTGGGAAGGACTTTGCTTTCAATAACAATGCCCCTTCATTTCTTCCTACCGTTTCGGTTGTGGAGAGGCAACGTTCTTGCCCTTCTGTTCTCCCGAATCTCTATCTCACCAGTTAGTACTGCAGTGGCTGCAGTTTCATGCCCGGGGAATTGGGAGTGAAGATCTAAGTCCCATGTACCCGCTCGCCCAGTTCTGTGTCCATGTGCCTGTTCATCGTTTGGACGTAGGCACCGCTTAGCCGTTGGCCTGCATACCTTGCACTCTACATTAGAAGTGTAATTATTTATTCTCACCAGCCATCGCCTTCCCTGTGGCGGGGGCGGGAAGTGATTGGCTACACAGGCTCTATGAGGGAGAGCCGTAAGGATAGAATCCAGAGCCCAGCACGAGCTTCCAGGTCAGTGAGTCCACAAGTCCCTGCGTTGCCATTGCTGAGACCCTGTTACTGGTTTTCACCCCCATGGTCAGGAAGTTTTTGTCTGCTATACAAATTCTATTTGTTAACTAATGATTGATCTTTCCCCTTTTTCTCTCTTGAGTGTAAGAGATCTCAGAGTTTCTGGTTAGTGTGGGGTAACTAGGGACACCACACTGAGTTGACAGCCCTGACAGAGGAGTGGGGTTTTCATGAACTCAGTTGGGGTTTTCATGAACTCAATGTGCTTTTCATGGTTAAGTGTACAATTCCCACTGGAAAGGAATTTCTGGAATTGTACGAGACCTGGCCTGCGTACTTTGCATCATACATTAAACCAGCGTTCACAACAACCCTGTAACACATATTCTTTCTCCCAGGAAATCCCCCTCTCCCAGTTCACTGCTCTGACTACTGCACTGCAAAGCCTGTGGCTATCACGCGTTTTTAAATGTGTCAATTTATTTAAATAATGAGTCAAGAACTGGCAATGTGGCAAGAAAACTGTTTTTGAGTTTTAAGGTAATCTAGAATCTTTATATTCCTTCTCTAGATACATTCTCTTCCCCTTTCCCTGTCCTTCATTTGCCGAATTAGCAGCAAACCCCCAAAACAGTGGCTTAAATAGAAAAAGTAGCTGTTTTCTTTTTCCTATAACAACGAGTCCAGAGGTTGTTGGTATTGGGCCAGTGCAGCAGCTCTACAGGGTCTTCAGAGACCCAGGTTGCTTCTAGCTTTTTACTCTTCCAGTCTTATCCTCAAGTATGCAAGATAGCTGCTGGAAAACCAGCCATCACACACATGTTTCAGGCATAAAGAAAGGGAAAAGGGAAGGGCAAAAGGCTTGAGGCATAGAAGTCTTTCCTTTTTAATGGGCTTTCTCGGAAGCTCCTCCCACTTACATTTTATTGTAATGTATTGTAAGCTTCCACCTGTATTTTATTGACCAGGACTATGTTATATAGCCATACTGATCTATAGGGA